TCTCACCTACGCCTCTATTGTCTGGTGTAACAGGGCCAACCAAAAGACGACTGCGGACAGACTAAACAGTGTAGAAAGGACTGCCTGCTTAATTTCAACTGGAGCTATGCTATCATCGCCTGGAGCGGCTCTTAATGCACTTCTGTGCCTAACGCCCCTTGATCTCTATCTAGACAAGAAGGCAAGGGCTAGTTTGTATAGCATTAACGCCCAGGGCGGTCTGAGCTTGCTCTCCTACGGATTGAGATCCACGTTCGACTTAATTAAGGAAACACCAGTCTTATGCATGATCCCAGATATCATGCGTCCACTATACATATTTTATAAAAAGTATATGGTGAAATCCTCCAAAGAAGACTGGCTGAATGGCCAGGTTACCTGTAAAGTTGGTAGCCTCATATGGTATACCGATGGGTCTAAAATGGGCCCCGACGTAGGCTTTGCAATTTTTTAGGGGAATGACCCAAATTCAAACTTAGCCATGTTTCAGTGTGCAGAAATCATCATCAATCATCTGCAAAAAAACTACGTCAACCATATAATTTATATAAACTCTGATATAATGATTTTTTAAATTTACGCGAATACTACACATTGAATAAAACTAAATTTACGGATTTTATCGCGTTTATTTCACTACTTTTACTTATTTTTAATTCCCGACGTTCATTCATAGACTTACATCGAATAAGTCTATGAAAGAAGGTCTAGTTAGCTTTCTTAGATCTAAGAAGCTAGTTAGCTTTCTTAGATGTTTTAATCATTCGAAATCCCAATAACACAATTGGTCACACTGTGTATAGGACCAACCGATATTTAAATGGTGAATCTCATCATCATCTTTCACAGTTAGCTACCGTGGGTAAATCTTTGTTTCAGAGAGCACGAGGGATTTGTGACAGAACATCTAGCCGCCGAACTTCGCACGTCAAGCAAGTATTGCAAGACAACAAGCTTCGGGTCCCGCGCCTACGTCACAGTGACTGAGTGAAGCCGGCCACAGTCGAGCGTGTACCTGCTGTACTACCATATGTCAGAGGAGTCACAGACAAGGTTGGCTACATCTTGAAGCGAGCTTCCATTAAAACATACTACAAGCTGCCGAAGAAGATTAGTCAATTTTTACCATCCGTCAAGTGTAATATCCCTCTACAAGATGCAGGAGTGTACAAGATAGATTGTGAATGTGGTCTTTTTTATATAGGTCAAACAAAAAGATCTATAAAAATCCGTGTGAAAGAACATATAGCTGACGTGAAGCACCGACGCTCCGAGAAGTCTGCAGTCTGCGAACCTGTTTAAGATCGTCCCCACCATTACATTCGATTTGATAAACCACAAATCCTCGCAAAAGAATACCGATTCCTACCAAGGATGTTACGCGAGGCTATTGAAATTAAAAAACATCCAAATTTTAATAGAGAAGATGGATAGGTGCTGCCACCTGCTTGGGATCCTATAATTAACAAAATTAAACCCAAACCTAAGCATACCACTGCAAGCAGATATATAAGCTGTTTTGCGTAAATCGGACCAAAAATTAATATTCAAAAACTGAAGGTAGCCGGACTAACTATGACATTGGTATGTCAAACATCTCCGTCCCCCCCCCCCCGCCGTAACCATGGGTGCTGTAAAGCACCCGAAACGTCAGGAATTAAAAATAAGTAAAAGTAGTGAAATAAACGCGATAAAATCCGTAAATTTAGTTTTATTCAATTTTATTCAACAAACTCTGATAGTCAAGCAGCACTGCTAGCGTTGAGGTCAAACTTAATGAACTTCAAGCTAGTTGGAGACTGCGTGAACCATTTAAACGCCCTGGGATGTGTAACAACAGGGTCGTTTTAAGATGGGTCCGGTTCACGCGGCTATTGTAGGCAACGAATTTGCCGACAAACTTGCACGGAGGGCTCAAAGTGCACACAATTTGGACTTGAGCCATTTTGTGGAATCTCAAGAAGCCTAGCCCAATTGACACTTGAAACTCTTTATCACAATAAATCACTTAACATCTGGTCTGACACACCAGGCTTAAAACATTCTAAAACCTTAATCCGGGCTTTTGATCATAAATTCGGTTCAGATGCCCTGGGATTAAGTAAAAATAAATTGCGCATTCTGCAAAGAGCGCTAACTGGACACTGTTGTCTTAAAAAGCACATGTCCATCCTGGGACTAAGCAACTCAAGGATGTGTCGGTTCTGTTCCATAACGGTAAAAACGCCTCTGCACATCCTAACTGATTGCAGACCCTTAATGCGCAAACGTAACACCCAGCACCGCCCAGACGACGTAAAATTTCTCACGGCTAAGCAACTCAAAAATTCTAAATTTAAAAATATTTATTCTGTAACAATAAATCATAGCAGTATATTAGAGTTCTCCTTTTAAGTATTTTTAAGTAATTGTGACAGGAAAAACTCGCTCTTCCTTAATTAACATACAATACTTTACTCCTTCTATTCATTCAAGACATAGGGCTTAGCAGTGAACTATAGCCACAGCAACGATCACAATAGATTTTAGGTCGCTGTGATACTGGTCCCTTTCCCTATACTTGCTCGCAGATAATTAAAAAAATGGGCTTTACGATCCTACGATACATTACGTCTTAGCACTGACTTTTAAGTTATGTGGTTCATATTTTATTATCTGTAGTTATTTGAAACTAGGTTTTAATTTATGTTTAAATTATATTTCTTCCATTAACATTTCGTTGCCGACGTGGGACTCTCCATATTAGGAAGGATTTGCCATTATCGCAACACTTATCATGCGAATCAGCAATCGCAGATATCAAAAGTGACACACCTTTGATGCTCTATTGTTGGTCTGAGTATTTTATATCTATTAACGTTTTGTAACATATATGAAGAAAGAAAATACAATAAATTTGATAACCACGTTCTCTTTACTCGGTCAGAAGCTCTTATTTTAGATTCTATATAAACGGCGTGTGTTCGATTGTATATGACCTAAAAGTATTTCCGTAATTCGTAATATATTCTCAAACGAGTTACCAAATTCATCAACGTCACTCCGTCGGACTCGATTTGACATTCGATTTAAAATCTAATTTAAAATGTTGAACGTCGATCGAGAGTAAATATTTACTTATTTCACAATGGCCTTTTCCAATGTAAGATTAAGTTATCATGTACATAATTTAAAATCGCTTGCAGTAGTTTGATAAAAAAAAATTGCAGATAATAAATTAAGAAATACTTAGGAAAATTCTTAATTTAAGAAGGAATATTTCACATTGAGAAAAAAAAGGGAAAATACATATCCGAAGTAGTTAAAAAGTCAATTTACTGTTAGATATAAATTGACATTTTGGTCGTTTCCAAAATAGAAGAGCGCTGTTACTTCTACTACTTCTACTTTACGCTGTTACTACGACTTAAAATTATATAAGTAGCATATAAAATTTGCTTGACAAATTTGGGCCACCAAAACATGAGTCAACTTAAAGTCGGGTACATTTGTAGAATGTTAAAATTAATATTATATGGCATGATCACCCAATTAATGTCATTCAACAGACCGGCTAAATAACGATTAACCCCCTCGTGTATTAGCCGACTTCAAAACGGAGGTTCTCACTTGTACGTTTAATATATATATATATATATATATATATATATATATATATATATATATATATATATATATATTCCAAGAGATGATGATTTATTGGTATAATAAACTGTCATGAAGATTTCGAAAAACACTAATCTGAATAAAAACATTCAGTTAGTCGGTCAATCAGACAAACAAATAAACGGACCCACAAACAAACCAAAGTTGTGAACGTAATCCGTAATTGGCTCCCGAATTTCTCTAGCCAATACTTGGTTTCCATACAACAAATAGGATAGGATATTGAATAAAAAAAATAAAATGAAAACTACAAAACAATAAAATCCAATGCCTACCTAAAACTAAGTACCTACACTAACAAAATAAATGAAATTACTTAAGTATCTATATTTTGTCTCATCCTGCAAACAAATGAAAAATAAAACTAAACTCAACCTAGGAAAGTTTTTGATTTTCAAGTAATAAGTGTCGTCGGGCTTAAAATCAGTTGGGTTTTCTATCAAGAAATTCTCAGTAGCAGCCCAGACTCAAGAGTTTAGCAGTGTTTCATCCCCATGCCTCAGAAAGCAAAGCCGTTTTATGTATATCCGTTTTATCTCACTACAATTTTTGTCGTATTACTAAATCGAACACAATAATAAATAGATAATTTTTGATATTGTGTATACAATGTGTTAATTTTACACTTGTAAAAATGAAAAGTGCGGATACTAGATAAAAAATTATCGGTAAAAAATCGAATTTTTTTATGTAAACTCTTTAAAAAATAAAATCATATTTATTTTTTTTTTTTTTTTTTGGTAAAATTTCCATCCTTCGGTTTTAAATTTTCTCTTTAAGTAAACGGTATATTTTTTTTCAAAGTGGTTTTATTTGAAAGTTAGAAAGATCAACTAGCAATAAAAATTAAAAAACCTACGATATCAAGCAGGAAATTTGTCAAAAAAATAATAAGATAATTTTTTTGTTAAAAAATACTTTTCTTTTTAATTTTTGGTCTGTAACTTCAAAATTAGTACATTGAGATAACCTTTTTAGAATGTTTTATTAAACTACATAGCTTACTGTACAAGTTCTCCAAAATAACATGCGTTCTATCTCTTTTAGTTTTTAAAATAATAATCATCAAAGAATGCCATCGGTATGTTGATTTACGCTTATGCGCCGCACCTACCTCTAGTTTGAACACCCCTGGTCGAACAAAGCAGGTAAAGATAAAAATAGATAGATCAAGGAAAGGCGAAACAAGTGAGTGGGAGAGTGAATTGTCGTTTGATGAGATTTGGGTCTCGTTCTCGTAAGGCATGCAGGCAGCTTTAGCTATTTTTAAATAGTTCATCTTGTAACGTTACCTAATTTGCACGTTGAATACGCTCACCATTTTTTTCGTCGTTATGCCTTCTACGATAGACTCATTGTCTGCTCGTGAAGTAGCTGACATTCATTACATTTACGGGTTTTGTGATGGCAACGCTCGCGCCGCCTCTCGAGAGTATCGTCAGCGATTCCCGACAAGACCTGCCGTTGACTACAGGGTTTTTTTAGCAGTACATCGAGAATTAAATGAAAATGGACTGTATCGCCCACATCGTGAACGTGCTCCTACTGTACCATTGGATGTGGATGAACATGTGTTGCGTTTAGTGTACCAAGACCCCACAATTAGTACTCGACGAATAGCACTCCAATTGGGGATTAATCACGTCCAAGTGTGGAAAATTTTGAAAAAGGAATGTTTGTAGCCCTTTCATTTTCGAAGAGTGCAGAATTTACCAGATTACGTCGAAAGAAGTGTTTTCTGTTCGTGGCTATTGCGGCAAAGACGATTAGTCCGAACTTCTGTGACCGTATTTTGTGGACCGATGAGGCAAATTTTAACAGAACTGGAATCACAAATTTTCGAAACCTTCACTTGTGATCTGATGCCGAAGGAAAAAAATCCCTTAGCAGTTCGGCCAGCGTCCTTTCAAAACGAATTTTGATTAATGTTTGGGCTGGATATAAAATTACTTAATCGGACCATTTATTCTTCCGTCAAGGTTGACAGGCCCAGCTTTCTACAAGAAGAGTTACCCGACCTGATGAGTGATGTGGATCTACAAACAAGGAGCAGGATATGTTTTCGAACGATACGGAGACAGATGGATTGGACGAGGCGGACCAGAAGCGTGGCCGGCACGAAGCACTGATATGACCCCCCTAGATTTTTTTTGTGGGGCCACATGAAACAGATTGTGTACAGTACTCTAATTAGTACAAGAGAAGAATTGTTACAAAAAATAATGGGTGCGGCTAGTCAAATAAAAGAAAATCGTACTGTATTTAAAAAAAACAGTACGTAGTGTGGCATTACGTGCAACTGTATGTATGGATGAAAATGGTGGTCATTTTGAAAATTGTAATGGTTTTAATAAATTAAATCATTTTTCTACTGTTTTTTTTTTGTTTTATTCCATAATTTTGTCAATTCAATCATTATTAAATCACTTTTTAATTTTAAGCTCAGATTACCTACTTTATTTTTAGTGATTATCTTAACAACGACAAGAGACAGAACCCATGTTATTTTGGAAAACTTGTAGAGTAATTCATGCAGTTTAATAAAACATGCTGAAAAGTTACCTCAATGTGCTAGTTTTGAAGTTACAGACCAAAAATTAAAAAGAAAGGTATGTTTTTAACAAAAAAAAATATCTTATTATGTTTTTTGACAAATTTCCTGCTTGATATCGTAAGTTTTTTTTTAATTTTTATTGCTACTTAATCTTTCTAACCTTTAAAATAAATCTTCTTTGAAAAAAAATACACCGTTTACTTAAAGAGAAAATAATTTAAAACCGAAGGATGGGAATTTTACCAAAAAAAATTAAAATGCTTTTATTTTTTATATAGTTTACACAAAAAAAAATGTTTTTTTACCGATAATTTTTTATCTAGTATCCGCACATTTCGTTTGATCAAGTGTAAAATTAACACATTGTATAGTGATCAATAGGGGCAGATTTTTGTAAATTTCTATAAAAGGTATTATTCATAATTATCGTAATTTCGTTTGACGAATTTTGCCACCACCATGCAGTTAAAAACCATTTTTTCCGGGCAAACTATATATCCTGGTTTTAACACAAAGGTTTAAGAGACATTAGGAAAATGAAAAAAAAACTAATTGCGTTATTTTAATCCTAAAGTGTTTATTCATACTAATTTTAAAGTTACAATAATCATTTAATAATTTTTCCCTAAACAAATATCAAATCACCCCGTAAAAAACAATCTTAAAACCTTATTTTACTATCTAAGGATTTAATTTTTTTTTAAATATCTTCTTAGTGGATGCCTGCTAAGCAATTGTATATTTTACCATAAGTCAAACTCATAATCAAAAAGAGTGCCGGCTTGTTTAATTTACGAACGTTTCCATAAAAACGCTGAAAGCCACATATTTTTCATTATAAGAATGTCAATCATCATTTCATAAAGCTGGAAATAAATACAAGAGAGCTAAGTCTGAACGCTTGGTTGGAAAAGCGTAAACAAAATTAATTTGCAAAAATTTGCCTTCTAATTTCGTTTAAGTGTTGTTTGATCTTAAGTTATAAACTGTTATTATTATTCATACGATTTTCTATGTAATATTATGGTTCATTATGTTGTTACCTCTATTCGAAAATATAAAAATAAAAATTTTTATATCAAAAGCGTAATTTAATATTCAATCCACGTAGGATTAACACTTTCACTCTCCGGTTTTCAGACACAATAGTAAGACAATAGCAATGACCTATATGTAATGCATGGGACTGTAAAAGTTTTAATCTGTATTTTACGTAGGTCACTCAATAAGTTTTGAGATGCTCAAAATTAAAAAAATGGAAGGCACCCGTGTTATATATTTCTAAAAAGCAAATTAGAACTCCATAAGCTTAATATTATATGATTAATATTAAAAAAAAAACAAAGTTCTATTAATTTTCCTGCATCGCTTCCCGCGTTTTTCATTTAAAACGGTGGATCTTAACCGTGAACATTTGCGCGCTATGATCTATTATGATTTTAAATTTGGTTTAACCGAATAATTAAGTTTACAACATTACAATCAGCATTAACCCACTCGTTACTACCGTCCTTTATAACGCCACTAATTGAATGATAAATGTACCGGCCAAATTTATATGTTCAATGTTGTATATACCAAGATCGTCTTACATTGCCGTCATCACACAGTGCGTCCATTATTTTGAAGTTAAGACGTATTTTAAATTAACAATGTGATTGCTTTGCAACATGGCTTCGAAAAGATAAGTTTTTTAAATATACTTATAAAGTTTTAAACACTACAACGTAGAATCCCGTAAAGAACTGTTATTTTAATATAAATGTAACATAAATTAAACTTGAATTTCACGGTTTTTCATGAAAATTATCTTATGTAAAAACGTATGGCGTTATAACGCCCGGTAGTAAAATTTATTATTATTATTATGTTTTAGATCACTGACGAAACGACCTTTAAATCTCAACGACATAGTTGATGCATTACACAATATAGATTCTGATGACGATCTGCCCAGTGAAATTACCATTTTTCCACCGGAAGATCCAAATAACGAAATAACAGACGAAGATTCTGGTGACATTTTGTGACATTACATAATCTCCCAGGTTTGGTTATTTCTTTTGAGCATATTACGAAATTCATTTCAGTCACTGAACTCACAATCAATTGTGTAATGTATTTATTACTTTTCAGGTTCCCAGCTAAGAGCTCCAGCAGAGATTACTTATGATGATACGTTTTCAGACAGTGACGATTCTGAAAATGATTTATCTTTGTCTGTGTTAGCAAAAAGAATTCGCAATGCCAATGAATGCTTGCCAGAACATTTGGATCAACAGATATCTTCTACTTCTTGCTCCACTCCATCTATAAGCTGTTCATCGAGGAACGTCACTCTTATTGTAAGCAAAACTCAACAGTATACGTGGCGCAACAGGCACAATTCAAGTGAATTTACACAGTAGCAGGATCGTGAGGGCTCAAAAATCTACAGTCACCTTTGTACTACTATGAGTGTATAGTGAATGATGAAGTAATTTAAATTGTGGTACATTACTCTAATCTTTACGCAAACCAAAGGAATGTCATCGCTAATATCACTACTTCAGAAATGAAGTGTTTTTTGGGTATACTATTATACAGCGGTTATGTCGGTACCACGCAGGCATGTATACGCAGGTATGTATTGGGAGAAATCTTCTGATACTCACTTTGATGTTGTTTATAATGCCATGTCTAGGGATCGTTTCACAATGAAAATGAAACACTTACATTGCTGTAACAACAATGTCATTCGTACTGATAGTGATAAATTTGCGAAACTTAGGCCTTTGTTTGATTTACTTAATAAAATTTTCTCAGACATGGCACCTTTTGAACAAAACTATAGTATTGACGAAGCTATGGTACCATACTATGGAGGCCATAGTTGCAAACAATTTATACGCGGGAAACCAATCCGATGGGGGTATAAACTGTGGGTAGGTGCAACTAGGTTGGGGTATGTTTTTTGGTTTGACCCATACCAGGGACATTCTTCAAATATCCCAGCATGCTATAAACAATTTGGATTAAGGGCAAGTGTAATTTTGAGCTTTGCTGATGCTACATTCGTGCTACCCAAACACTCAATTTCATTTATTTTTTGATAACTTTTTTCTTCTATCCCTCTTTTTCACGAATTGATTGAGTAATAGAGGATTGAAAGCTACAGGAACTATTCGTGAGAATCGTACCTCTAGATGCCCACTACTTGAAAACAAGGTTTTCAAAAAAACAGAAAGGGGCACATTCGTCCATATACGTCTTGTCAACCCAAGCAGATCTTAGTCTGCAAATGGAATGACAATAGTGTCGTAAGTGTCGCCTCTAATGCGGAAACAATTGAGCCGCTTCAGAAAGCCAAGCGATTTTCTCAACAGTTGAAACGATATGTGTTTATTGATCAACCTGCTATCATAAAATCATACAACGAAAATATGGGTATAGTCGATAGAACTGACCAAAATATTGGCTTATACAGAACTTCGATCCGGGGGAAAAAAAGGTATTTTTCGTTATTTTGCCATAGCTTGGATATGGCTACCCACATGCCTGGCAGTTGTACAAAAGTGATGGTGGCGAATACGACCACTTAACTTTTCGTAGAGTAGTTGCCAGAGGATTATTGGAGACATATAAAAGAACCGAAAAACGGGGAACTTGCCGTACTCCCAGCAACTATAGAGGAACCTCGCGATACGATCGCATTGATCATCTAATTGAATATGAAGAATCTCAAAGCCGCTGCACTATTTGTAAAAAAATCAATTTCATTTGTCGTAAATGTCAGCTGTATAAGTATGTTTTATTTCCCATCATACCAAAGTTTAGATTCTTGGCAAATAAACCATTGTAAGCATATGTTTTGTGTTTTATTTAATTCCAAATTTTAAATGTTTTACCTTTAGTAGCCGATCCTACCGGGCGTTATAACGCCACTCGTTTTCCTGCTTTTCCGGACCACGAATATTTTTTTAAATAATTTTTCGCTTTGGTACAACATATTAAAAAATCAGTTAATACTGAAACAAAAAAGTTTCAGTAATATCTGGGTTAAGGGACTCAGTTTCATCAATTTTAAGGTGATTTTTTGAGTTCAAGAGTGGTAAAATTAACTTTAAAAATGACCAAATAACCGGAGCCCTGCAAACAACAGTAACGGCAGAAAATTTATGGACTACTGAAATGTTGGTGCGAGAAGACCCACAAATGACATATACAGACATGACACAAACAGAAAAGATTGTAGGCATTAGTTTGGGGGTCATACATACCATCGTACAGCAACATCTTGGAGTGAGGAAGCTTTATTGTCGATGGATCCCTCATTTGCTCTCCTAAAGCGAAAAACAGACTCGTGTGGATTGGTGCCATGAAAAATGTCTAAGTTTTGAAAACGGGGCATCTAGGCATGCTTCAGAAATCGTTACTGGTGACGAGACATGGATCTATCAATATGATCCGGAAAATAAAAGGCAATCATCGGTATGGGTCCACTCAGAAGGACAGTTACAGACAAAACTGCAAAGGCCTCGCAACGTCGGCACAAAAGGTCGCTATTTTTTTTCCGCGGAGCGGACATTTGTTGACGTCAATGCTGGAAAATTGTAGGTCAGTCAACTCTAAATTGTATACTACAGTTGCATTACTCAAAGCTTTTTAAGCTGTACGGGAGAGAAGACCATAGACCAGGCTTCGGGGAATCATGCTGCATCACGATAACGCCTCTTCACATACCTCACTTAGAATAAAAGCATTTATTGAGGAATCTGGTGTTGAAACTTTAAGTCACCCACTCTACATCCTTAACTTAGCTCCTTGTGATTTCTTTTTGTTCCCGGTAGTCAAATAAAAAATAAAATACAAATTTTTTTCAAGCGCCGAAGAAGCCATGGCTGCCTATGAAGAAGTTATATCCGACCTGTCAGATCAAGACTGGCAAAAGTGTTTTCAGAGTTGGTTTAGGCGAATGGAACTTTGTATAGATTATGATGGAGAATATTTTGAAAAGATGTAAAATAAATATTAATAGTATCTAGAATACTTTTTAGATCTCAAAACTTATTTAGTGTCGCACGTAAAATCGATTTTTAATAAGTTTTTAAGGTTGATAAGTCAATTCTAAAATTCTCTTGCCTTGTCGTTCAGCATTTGAGGAAGTTAAAAATATAAGCAAATAGAAAAAGGGCAAATAAAAAAATATCTTTATATGAAACTCGTAAACGCTACTCATCAGACGCGCACATTTATGCGTAACCTGTAAGAATGAATAAAATAACTGGATTTATAGATTCGTGATTATTGGCATAAAATATTTGATTTAAAAAAATATTATTCGTGGTAGAGCCACGCTGCAGCTATATTATACTTGTAGCATGAATGCTACAAGTATAATATAGCTGCAGCGCGCCGCCCACCACAGCTTGCTGCCCGCCCCGGGAGGCGTAGCATCGCTTGACCAATACGCTCCGCTTACCCCGTCAACTTGCTGCGTTGAAGTCGGTAAGAAGCCTAGCCCTCTTGTGATTCATATCCCGTACACTTCTGTTGCTCTGGTATAATATGACTGAGCGGCGTAGCGAACAGATGAACCTAGAGATGTCGCTGTGCGTCTCGGAAGATGAAAAAACTCCACCAAATTTTGTTACACAACGTACACAACAAAGACATATTCATAACTCGGATAAAATAAGACAGGATCAATTTATGGACCTAAAAGCAGAAATGGCTAAACTAATGGCAATCACAAGTAAACAAGCAAAAGATCTCAATGACCTCACTTCGACACTTAAAGAGGTTCGCCTGTCAAATCAAAATATTGAGAGCTCGCTTACATTATTAACCGCTCAAAATGAAGAGTTCAAAAAACAAATTGTAGCCCTGCAAAATCATGCAAAAGAAGACAGGAATTATATAATGCAATTAGAAAACAAACTGGAGGATTTGCAAATCTCAACCCGCAAAACATCATTCGAGCTGAAAAATGCACCTAGGAAAGAAAATGAATCGAAGCAAGATCTAATTGACATGACTATACGTCTTTTAGAAACCATAGATTGTAAAATTAACAAAGGCGACATTAAAGATATTTACAGATTGCGTGGAAAAAAGTCAGAACAAAAAAACACACCCATAATTGTAGAAACAAACTCTGCATTGTTAAAAATTGATTTTATGAGGATGGCGAAGGCATTCAACGTTCGGAACAAAACTAAATTTGTGCTAAGCATCTAGGCTTTAAAACCAATGAAGACACCTCTGTCTTCCTCTCTGAGCACCTGACTGCTAGAGGATCACGTCTATTCTTTTTAGCTAGAGACTTAGCAAAATCAAAAGGTTATAAGTACTGCTAGACCGCTTATGGTAAGATATACGTCCGAAAAAATGAACTTTCTCCTATTATCTTGGTTAGAGCCGAAGAGCAAGTACACCAGCAATAAATGGAGTGACGACCTGGTACTGCTACTAAAAGAAAAGTGACTGGCTTTGCATATCCTAGGTCTGTTGTTTCGTCTTTTTTATCTCATGCTCGCGTTTATTGCGCAATTATTGTTTGATTTACTTTTGTTGCCTATACGATTGTATAATACTTTTTCACTATATCTGTTATACGCGTGCAACACACATAAACACACTACTTTGTACTTACACAAATATGTTTTATACATACACTCACACACACAATACCTTACCCAATTAATTACACTATGCCCTAGCAAACACTCTTTACAGATACTAACACGTATCACATTAATTAGATATAAACCTCTTAAATCAACATACATATGTAACAAAAAAGAAAATTCAACCGTAAACTTTACAAAGTATACATATTATTATTATAATAGGTCGCCTACAATCACATACTTGACGCTTTGCGAATTGACATATTTTCGCCTATTTTTCTTTTCACATGAATAATACAATGACCACACTTCAAGAAATAGACAGAATAGAGCTGGCACGGTCTAGTGAATGCGACGTGGAGGAGTTTATTAAGCGTGTAAATGTAAAGAAGAATGACTTTACTATTATATCACAAAATATAAGGAGCATATATTGTAACATTGATGATTTTGTACTGACTTTGTCTAGCTTTAACTTCAATACTGATGTTATTGTACTGACGGAGTGCAGACTTAATTCTAACAAACCTCTACCTGTTCTGCCCAACTATTGCTCCTATTTTACTGAAATATATAACTATCTAGGCTGAACCAAAACGATGGTGTCGTAGTATATGTAAAGAATGCTTTAAACACAAAATTAAGGAAATACATTTGACCCAAGCATTATGTTTACAGATCCACATACTCAATAATATAATTTTATGTATATATCACCATCAATTAATAATGCTGATAGTTTTATAAATTCATTGAACTCACACTTAAGTTGTATAAAGTCACTTCATAATATTTTT